CACGTTCTTTGTCACGATGATGTCGCTTCTTCTGCTTCTTGCCCGACTTTTTCTTCTTGTGATGATGATGATGGTGGTGGTGACTACTCTTGCTCTTCAATTCCGCCGGCGTTTGCGATTTCGGCGCTTCTGGAGAGCGAAAATCGTCACCAGTTGCTGAGCCTGCTAATAATTCCTCTGCTTCTTGCCGCTGCTCCTCTTCTGGCTGCTGCTCCTCTTGTTGCCGCTGCTCTTCTGGCTGATTTGACTGCTGCTCCGCGTCGAGGGCCTCGTCGTCGTCGTCTTCGTCTTCGTCGTTTTCTGGCGAGAGGCAGAAGGTTTCCCTGTGGCACAGAAATTCGCTCGAATTAGTTGTGGTTGTTCGTCTCAGGGAGCTTGCGTAGGTTGAAATACCACTAGCTGTCGACGTAGACTGGGATCTAAAATGCAAGCAGTTAGGAAAAAAACAATTAGGTTATTAATAATATGTTTTTGGAATATTAACGATTAATTTTAAATAATAATGGATTTAAGGATATGATGATGTATTTAATGCTTTTCATATATATTATATTATTGATTGAGTTGTTTTAATTAGAAGCCAACGATACACATTAATTTTGATGAATTAATTTTAAGATTGAATCAGCTTTTTTACGATATGAGAGGTTACTTGATACGATTCTGTCTATGTCTGTGTCTCGTGAATGGGATGAAACTGAGAAGTTCTCTTTAAAATAAACTTAAACCATAAGATAATGCATATATCGAATAGAAATAGATTAAAAAGCATGCTTACAGATTGTTTTTGAAAACGAAATCCAACCAATTCTTCCATATACAAAATTAAATGATGGGCAAAACTCAAATTAAGTGCTGATCCTCGTTTCGTCGATGCTAATCCTGGATTTATCGTCGATGTTGATGATGGCGATTTGGTTTCTCAACTGCAGCAACACAAATTGTAAGCGAATACACTTCGCTTCGCTTAACAAATTATAAAAGTACGGCAACTCAAAAGATCAATTGAAAACATAAATCAAAGATGCTTTTGTTATGCAAGTGAGTTCAATGTATCTGTTTTGTTTCTGCTTCCTGTTCTGTGAGTAGGATGGATGTGGCCGTCTCGTACGCCAGCCTTCTTAGGAACATTGGCGTGCTAACCGTCTGCGTGTGCGCTGCTGCGATTGCTGCTGCTGCTGCTGTTGTTGTTGTTGCTGCTGCTGTTGTTGCTGCTGCTGTTGCTGCGGCGGTGCCAACCAGTGCGCGTTTTGCCGCTCCTGGTAGAGATCCTCCCGCTCACGACGCTGGCGCTCCTCCTCCTGGCGCGCCTTCAACTCCGCGATATTGCGAATGCGACTGGAGTTGCGCACTTGCAAAAGTCTGGGTAAGTAAAATATTTTTTCATTAGTATAATTGCTCTATAAAATATGCTGAGTATCTTTTGGAAACATTTGAATTGGATTCTAGTTAGATTCAGGGTATTTCACTCACTTCCTACGCCTCAAACGCTCACGCTCGCGGAAAAGCTGCGGCAGCTTGGGCAGAAAGTTGTCATCGAGTATGTGAAAGAGTTCGCGCTCCTTGGCGTTCGTCGATGTCTTAAACTTGGCGGCCAAGTTTTGCCAGTCCTCTTCGGTGAAGCAGATGACTTGCCAAACTGTGCCGTTGCTGCCGATGCCCTTGCTATTGGATGCTCCGCCAGATGAGTCTCCGGCACACCCTGATCCCGAACCCGAACTGGAGGCGGCCGCTCCACCGGTGGCCTTGTCCTCCCGATAGAGACGCGTGCCGTAGAAGTACCAGTAGCCGGAGTTCTTGGCGTCGTAGCCCAGGGGCTCCACGCGCAGACTGTCCGCCTCTAGATTGCTGAGGATGACCTGCACATCGGCGGAGTCCAGGCGAAAGTGGCACAGATCGTGCAGGATGTGCAGACGCTTGCGCACGGGCAGCGACTGGAAGTCAATGTCCGTGTCAAAGTGGTTCTCGGTCTGGTGCAGGCGACACTGTTGGCGCAGGAAGCGACGCAAGAACATCTGATAGTTGCTGTGTGTGATTTCCTTGGCTACCGACTGTAGCGCATCGCAGCCCTTGAGCAGGCGCACAATTAACTCGGGCACTAAGGCGACCTGATCCTCATCGCTGGTACCATCGGAGAGCAGCGCCGATTCGAGGTCCTGTGCGTTCATAAGATTGCGTTTCATAAGATTGATTCAATTCAGAATGTGTGTAGCAGATACTCACCTCAATGTCGATGTCGGGCAGATCAAAGGCGGAACTAAACAATGAACAGAAATGCGAAATACACGGTATCTCCCACCATGATTGAATGTCTGCGAAGGAAAAACATTGCGATTAATTGTAGATGGCTTCTAAATTATTTTCTTTAAATGAATAACAATTTTTAGCATTTTGTGACTTTTTTGTGAGTTTTTTTTTTTGTGAGTTTTCTATTAAGTAAAACTTAAGAAGTCTTCTTATCAGTGGAAAATCGATGCTAGTTTAATTTATGTTGATTTTGTCATATAGAAACGCTTTTGATAGAACTATAGCTCACCTAATAGACCAATGAAAGTAGAAACCATTTATGTATGCTTGCTTATTGGAAACGTTGCTCCTCTGCGGGATTTTAGAGATGTGACTAAAAACTATTCCTGGGCCTCTTTGGTAGCTCTCTGCGTGGAAGTCGGGCTGCACATATAGTATATATAACGAATGTGGTCAGGCGTTAACGAATTAGGCTCAAATTACACGACCGAAAGTCAAAAGGCGGCAAAAAGAGCGAGCGAAGAAATAAAAAAAAAATACAAAATGTGTGCAACATGTGTGTGTGTGAGCGTTGGGACATTTGGCGGCGATATATACACAAACATCTGGCTTTATCACTTATCACACATTCCGATGCACGCAAGGGGCTGGGCAGCGCAGGGGAGGGGATGGGGGTGGGTCGAGTGGGGGGGACGGTAGGTCAAAAGAAAGTACACGAGCACCCCTTTCGCGCGCTTATTTTCACGAAGAGAAAATCAAAACAGACAGCCGACAAACGGCACAACCGTGAGCCAGAGCGGGACGGCACTAGTGGATTGAGCCAATAGCCGAACCGCTCACTTTTTCACGTTTGCCTGCCATCTCGCTCCCGCAAATGGGCACTACTATTTTGACTACACTGCACTCGATTATTTTGCAATTATAATGTGCAATTTACACGGCTCTTGGGCAGTTGGATTTTTTCCGCTTTTCACCAATAATCACACGCGATGAAAGGTTATGGTGTTCAGATTTAGTTTGCGAGCAGAGCCGTTTATTAGTTTATTAAACTACCAATTTTGTGGAGCATGCGCGCGGCGGCTGACGACCGACGGCTTTTCTCCGCCTCCGTTTTTTGCCTGCTGGCCAGTGTGTATTTATTTTTATTAATACACGTATATATATTTTTCAGTTACGTGCGAAAGTGTCATTTAACTTTAGAGACGCCCATTTCCCAGCGCATCTTCCTTTCTCTCTGCTTTCCCCCCTCAATTTCTTTTTCACACACACGCACCCACACACTCAGATGCCAGGGCACACACACACACAGTCACACGAAGAGGGGCTCCATCTGCCATAAAATATTATTAATTAATTCACAACAACAGCAGCGCGCAATAAACGATCCGCTGCGATCGATTGATTTAACAGCATGCTAACCCGTTTCGATCCCGTAAGTCTGGCTAGCTGCGCAGACAATATGCGATTCGCGTTTTTGCGCTCCTGGTTAATTTTATTTTCTTCAGCGAGCAGCAAACGCGGCGAAGAAATTATCGAGGTTTTCGATAACTAGTGGTGGCCTTAAATTCGTCAACACGCCTGGCATCGATGGTTCACTAGAGATGAGTCACTCGGAGGAAAAGATGTCCTGAGCGATAGTTCTTAGAAGGTATATCAGATATTAATTAAACCAACCTGTTATGCTTCAAAATTCTTTAACTCACATTAAATATCTGCATTTATTTTTTTAATTGTGTATTTATGTTTTACACATACCATTATTCAAACTTTTATAGTCTATACAAAATATATTTATTGAAATTTGATCGAAAATCACACCAATTGTAAATATACTCGCCACATAATATACTCCACACAAACACAATACTGCTCATATGAAAAGTATTTTATAACACACCTAATAATAAATGAATAATTAGTTGTAATACTTACAACATTCCGCGTTTCTATCGGTACGTCGATTTCCCTCTCCCATTCGCTTTTCGCTTGCCATTCGCCTCTCCACCCATACTATCCTCTCTTTTTTCTGCCTTCTCATCCCTTCCTTCGCGCGAGCAGCTGTGAGTCTAACCTAACTTTTTCGCCTGCTAACTACATGGCAGCGTGATTGTGTGTGTTGTTGCTTCACACGCACGAGTGCGGGTGTGTGCGTGCCCGTCTCCATGTAGGTCGCCATGTAGGTTCTAAAGTAACTACATGGCATAAGTCGCGGGTTGGGGAGCTATCAATTAAAGATTAACCAAAATTATGCAAAACCATTCAAAGTTGCAATCCAAGTTGAGCGCGCATGCAATATTTGTAAAAGTCCGCAAGCCAGCTTACGCATATTTCTGTTAAATTTGCATTCTGTTCATAGACGCGCCTCGGGGAGTCCCACCATGTAGGTGCAATCTACATGGCGATTCTAGCCTACATGGCGAGACATGCGAAACTGGTTTGGGCAAGGGCGACCACGAAATTTGTTGTAAAATAAAGTGGTGCTGAAAAAACTCCCCTAGAAGCAGGCAGTAAGGCATAAGTGAAAGAATTTAAAACCCTCAATTTTGTTTTCCCTGTTTGTAATCTATTTAAAATGGAATTTGGCTGTTTTAAATTCCGAGGTCATTAAAATTGTAAATTAATTCAGGGATTAAGTCAAGCGAATTTGAATGAACATAGAATTGATTTTCAGAAGTTAATGAAACAGCCCAAATGACTTTCAAATTAAAGTCCTTGTTTTTCGCCATCAATATATGCTTAGAAAGTTTCACCAGTTTCTTGTATTTCATACATAGTACTTTAGTCTTTATTTATAGTTTTAGTTTAGTGTAGTTTTAGAGGCAAATGTTTAGATACATAGAATTATTAATGTGATGGCGTATTTACAGATGGTGCCGCAGCTGTGGCAGCTGGAGCAGCGCAGGCAGGTGGGTCATATGCGCATCCGGATCGCGAGCTCGCATGGCGAGTATTGGTTGGTGCTACGGCTCTATCTTGCGGATCTTTAGACCTCCGCTGGAGCCGCGCGGCGTCAGATGAGCGACTCCGGGCGAAACGGCTGTCGTAGCGCCCGCCGTGCTCACCAGTTGTGGTATCAGTGTACTGCCGTTACTGTTAGCCTCCCCGTTTCCATTGCTCGGACTTGAGACGGATCCATTGTGCAGGCGCCGCTTCAGCACGAATCTTTTACCCGTGGGTGCTGCCGTAGTCGTGGGCGCAGGGGCTATCGCGGCGGGTTTCCCTGCCAGCGCTGGCTCCTCGTTTACAGGGTCCACTTCCATGTCGGTGCCGGCATTGTTTTCATCATGCTGAATGAAAGATTAAAGTTAGTGACCGTGATACAGCAGCTAGAATATCTTTGAGAGAAACTTACCATTTCACTGGCTGGATCCTCGTCGTCATGGCCCTCCTCCTCCTCAAACTCGGCACTCTCCGTGTCCTCCGGGTACTCGACCAACTGGCCATTCAGCGTGGGGAACTCGATCACTGGCAGAATAAGTCGTTGCTGCTGATTGCCGTCGTCCATTAGCTGCTGGATGAGATTGGCAATGTCCTCGCGCTTTTTCGTCACCGTGAGAAAGTCGAACCAGTTGGTCAGCTGCTTGATGGGCAGTCTGTAGTCTCTGATTGGCTCGCCAAAGAATTGCTCCACATACTGCAGCAGATACAGGCCGCAATCGGTGAAGTTGTTCTGCTGCGGCACCTTGACGCAGTGGCCCGGCATGTTGTCCTTGTTGAAGATGTGCGCCTGCGCATCCGGCTTCTTCACCCGGTACTCGCATGTGAGATAGTCTCGCAATGTGGCCACGACGCGGCTACGCGAAGCGCCCGCCAGGGAATCAAAGATTAGGATTAGAGGTTGTTTTACGGCTGGCACATCATCGGATGCAATATTCCTCGCTGGTCCGGTGGATGTGGGCTGCGAACTAGTTACAGTGGGGGTGGTGGTAGTCGTGGAAGTGGGCGTGGCCGTTGGTTCCTTGGCCGAGTTGGAGTTTTCACTGTCATCCGAGGCCATGTCGCTCTCATCGCCCTCCGCCTCATCCCTTTCGCTCTCATCGTCTGCTATCCGGCACACGTTCTCCGCTGTCAGAGCCGCTGGAAGTTGTCCTCCCTCTCCCCTTTTCGTCAGCGGGGTTATGGTGGTGTTGCCAATCTGCAGGGACACCTTCTTGCCTCTGGGACGCTTCAGCTGCTGCGGCTCCACTGGCTGATTCGTATCGAACGTCACGGGTCCTTTTAAGTTGGGGTAGCAAATGATGGCGAGGAACCAATGCGACTGCTCGTTGATGGGCACTATAATAAAATCCTTTTCGAAGATGTCCACTCCCTTGGTCCATTTCTGCACCCTGGCATGACGCTTCTGTGCTGCCGTCTGCTTCATGTCCGCTGGGCGCGTTAGCGTTGTGAGTCTCTTGTAAAAGAATGTGCTAAAGATATGTGTCCTGTCGCGTTGAGACTCCGGAATCAGTGTGTTCCTCAGCCAGAGCAGATAGAAGTCAATGATGATGTCGTTGAGGTAGGATTCCTTGGTGAGGCACACGTAGTCCTCCATGCGGATGCACAGGCCTCCCGTTCCCTTCGGCGGATACATCAGCAGACTAACCTGCTCGTCTGCTCTCAGTTGTCGCGGCGGTGGCTGCGAGCTCTTGTCTTGCGTCTTGCGATCGGAGTCCGCGATCCTCTCGAGAATCTCGGCGGCATCTGTCGAGGATATCTCGTCCACACAGCTGAACATGGACTTGATATTACCACGAGCGGTCACGGATATGCTGTCGAACAACAGGATCAGGCGGCGAGTGTGATAGCTGTGCGTCTTGAAACCGGTTTCTACAATTGAAAGAATTAATTACCATTGATTAGTTTAGCTTAGTTGCCGTATTGCTGAGCAAAACGATGAATGAAAATATGTAGTACACAGAGAGTGCTTATTACTCACGTTCGTGATGCTGATCGTCGGGCAGCTTGAGTTGGTTTTTTACGTACTCCGCGCACGTCTTGAGAAGATATAGCGTGACCAGTGGCTGGGCGGGCTCAACGTTGCCGAAGTGGGCTATCACCTTGATCACCTCCTGCTTGTGGATGTTCAGCTCGAACTTCTCGTCCTTGTCCTTCAGCATGCCAGCGATGCGAACGCCCTTCGTTGTGAAGCATACCTGTGGGATTGGGATTGAGCAATTATATTGTATTTAATTCTATTATACACATTTCAAGGGCAAGGGAAAGGCTAATGGGGGTGAGGCCTTACCGGCTCGGTAATCTCGAATCTGTAGGGCACCAGACGCACGCAGCTGCACTTCAAGGATGCGGAAAACTGTTCCGGTTCGGGGATATCCGACAAATCCCTAACATCGCCTCGGGAGAAATCTGCAATGGTAGGAAAAAGTCCGTGGTAGTTAATTGTAGCATTTTCCTCGTGGCCATCCATCAGTCACATTTTTATTCACTCGCGAGTTTTCGATTACGCCCACACATTTACCTTCATCGTTCATTGTGGTAGAATGCTTCGTCTACTTTGTGTCGTTAAGTAATTAAATAAGAAGTACTAAAAACCCTGCAAATGTGGGAAAATTGCAAAAGAATGAGGAAAACGATGTGTTTTCACGCATTCGCTTTGCGTCTCTGCTTCTTCTTCGCAGACCGTAAAAATGGCGTGCGCTGGCTGGCTGGAGCGCCCCCTGGCGGACTAACGCCTACACACACGGACCAATGGCGTTGCCAACACCAAATAACTGCACACACAACATTGCAATGCATCAGTGCTGCTGCTAGCTACAAAACGGCTAGACCTAGTCGAAAATAAAAAGTTTACTTGAAATAGATCAATTCTAAATTCGAATTTATGGTAAATCTTTGTATTTACTTTAATGTCGGCCACTTTAATATATTTTCTACGTAAATGTAATGTATATACGGACAAACTCTATCACTATTTTTATCTGATAAACATGCCAAATGTATATCGATGTCCAAGACGTTTTCGTATATTTGAGATACTTCGTATCTTTGTAGTTATCCGAGAAATGTTGTTTAGAAGATACTTGGTACCCGTCATTCATAAGTCAAAAATTGTATCTCATAAATTAAAATGAATCTGAGTAATTCATTCATAAGTCAAAAATTGTATCTCATAACATGATTCACTAAAATGAATCTGAGTAAATGAGTCTTCATAGTTAAAATCCAAAGGATAAACAAAAGTTCTTGTTCGATGTATACACGTCAGGTATAGTTTATGATATTTGAATGGCATACTTAGGTCTTACCTTTGTACAAGGCCACCTCATCGATCTCTGGCAGATTTGGCTCGCAAGGAAAGGCGGCGGAAAGTTCATGCAGATTGCCATTGGAGTTCAGCTTGGAATTGCTGGTAGGTTGCTGCCGAATATAACGAAATATTGACAATTGCAAGACATGGAGGTATATGTAAATAACTTACATTGCTCGAGTCCGAGGTGCCCTCACCCTCGTCGGCCTCATCCTCGCTGCTCAGCAGCACCACGGGATCCACTTCGGGCACCCGTCTGCCTCCCCGCGCTCTGCCGCCTCTCATGGCCAGGGATCCGCGACCGCGAGCTCCAACTCCGACTGCGTAGGTCACGCCAGCCAACTTGTTGTTGAATCTAGCTGCCGCCAACTCGCGTTTCTTATCCGCTGCCGTTGGGACAGCAGACACGGGCTCGCTGGAGGACGACGAAGCTGGCGAGGAGGCCGCACTATTCTTGGGCATGTAGGATTTGCGTTTCGGTGGCTCCGGGAAGACGCGTTTGCACCGCTCGCAGCGGGCATGATCGACGCCAGTGAATCCACACAGCTGGCAGACGGCCAGAAAACCGTCGATCAGTTTCCTGCCCTCCGAGGGAGCGCTGCCAGCGGAGGAAACTGCACCAACCGTTGAGTTACCACTTGCCGAACTGGCTGCTTCGCGTTTCGCCTGCTCGGCAGCGGCATTCGCTTGGGCATAAGCAGGCGAGGCACTCGTTGTGGCAGGATTAGGATTGGACGCTGCTCCAGCGACGGCAGACTGATTCTCCTGCGAACGGTTCATTTGCAGACTCTCCTCCGCCCGTGAAATCAGTTCGCTGGCAGACTCGTGGACCGTGAAGCCGACGGTGACCACAAAGTCCACATTGGCACCGCGATGCTCGACACACTGGATGGTGGTGTTGTGGTCAAAGGGCACACCGACCTGCTCGAGAAGATCCTGCACAGTGCAGGACTCACGTGGAAGCGTAAAGGTGATCAGACGTTGCTCTCCGCTGGCCAGGATCACCAGCATCTTGGCACTATTCTTGTCGCGCTCGGCTATTTCCTGACCGGCTCGGTTATTCAGCACATGCTGCGAGTGAATCTCGTAGTTATTGTGCGAAGTCTTCATCACGGATGATCCTTGTGTCACCGCCGCTGGAGCTGGAAGTGGTGCAGCTACTGCGGCTGGCACTGGCCTCTGTGGCTGCATGATCCTGGTGCCGGGCGGCAAGGCGCCAGCAGGTTGCGTGGGTGTTATTTTGGCAGTTGGGCGAACCATCGTTCCAGGTGCCGTGGCTCTCATGGGCGCCAGTCCTGGATTTGGAGGCGGAACTGGAGCTGGTGAGGCCGACAGAGTTTGCCTCTTCTTGTACTCCGCCAAAGTCATGCTTGCTCCACTGGGTGGTCGTATTCCTTGGGGCTGACTCTGGACCACTTGCTGTTGCTGCTGCTGCTGCTGTTGTTGCTGTTGTTGCTGCTCCTCTTCTTGCGAGGCAGCTGCTGCAGGATAGTAAGTGGTCAGTGTGGTTCCCGCTCCAATCTGCATGGGCTGTAGTTGATTGGGGGCCACCGGCTGAGCCGGAGCCTGGGGCTTCTGTTGCTCCTTTTTGAGCACTGCCGCCTGAATGCGCTCTTCCAAATCCATGCCTATAGTACTAGTTTGGACACCTCCGCCTGCGGGCGTTGGAGCAGGCGCCTGAACTGGCGCCGCGACTGCTGAGGTCACCGGAGCTCTGTAACGAATCGGAGCATGACGCATCATCAGCATTTGCTGGTGCTGCTGCGGTTGCTGTTGTGGCGCCTGCTGCTGCTGGGGATTTCCATCGGTGACCATGTGCGTGCGGTAGATGTGGCGCGGCTGCTGCTGCATCTGCTGTTGTTGGGTCTGCTGCTGCTGCTGTTGTTGCGGCTGGCCGAGATTCGTGCTGATGGTAATGTGCTTCATTTGGCCTTGGGTCACTAGCATGGCCTGACCCTCGCCGGCGCCGCTAGTCTGCACCACCAACTGAGCTCGAGTGGGTCGTACGCCCGCAGGGCGCATATTCCTAACCAGTCCGCCGGGCACAGAGCCCACTGCTCCTCCCCGGGGCCGTACTTGTCGTACAATCGTTGCGGGCGTGAGTGTTGGTCTGGTGGTGATTAGTGTGCCCGGTCTGGCCAGAACAGCTCCCCCTCGTGCGGATTTCCTGAACGAGGCTCGTACCAGTTGAGTGCCTCCTGCAGCAGTGGTGGCCACTAGCTGCGGCTGCTGCTGAGCCACCAACTGGGGCTGCTGCTGCTGCTGCTGTGGAGGCTGCTGCTGCTGCTGTGGCTGCACCTTTTGCACCTGCAACTGCTGGTAGACAACGTTTTGGGTCTGCTGTGGCACCACACGAGCCTGCACCAAATGGGCTGTTTGAGTCGTGGGCTGCAGTTGCATCTGCTGTTGCTGCTGGACTTGCTGATGCTGCTGCTGTACGTGCTGCTGGATGACGTGCTGTTGCTGCTGCTGCTGTTGCGGCGAAGTGGCATAAACTACTCGATTGTTGTACGGATGTATGGCCTGGCGCATAATCAGCTCCTGATGCTGCGGCCCCTGGATCAACACCGGTTGCTGCTGGACAATCACGTGTGTATTGTTGAGCATCTAAATGTGTAGAAATTGTGACAATATGTTTACAAGTGACAGGTAAAGAAAAGGCTATGTGAAACCTAACTTACCCCTAATGGTCTTTGTTGCTGCTGGGTGGTGGTCATGCGGTAGACAATCTGCTGGTGCTGTTGCGGTTGCTGTTGGGGGGGCGACGTCTGCAGCTGCAATGTTTGTGGCTGCTGCGCTTGCTGATGCTGCTGCGGGGGACTCTGAAGTAATTGAGTTTGCCCTTGGGGCGACGCTTGCACTTGGTAGGCGGGTGCGTGTTGCTGATACTGTTGCTGCTGTTGTTGCTGCAGCACTTGCTGCTGCTTCTTCTGCTGCTGCATATGTTGTACGATGGCATTTGGTTGCAGGACTTGCTCGGAAGTGTAGTAAATCTGCTGCGTATGCTGGATGGCGGGTTGCTGCTGTTGATGCTGCACATATTGTTGCTGCTGCTGTTGCTCCATGTGCAGTTGTTGCTGTTGCTGCTGGGGCTCCTGCTGCTGCTGCTGATAGTGAACTTGCTGCACTTGCTGCACCTGCTGCACTTGCTGCACTTGATGCTGCTGATGATGCATTACAACTTGTTGTTGCTGCTGCTGGTGCTGTTGCTGCGGCTGTTGTTGCTGCTGTTGTTGTTGCTGCTGCTGTTGCTGGTGCTGTTGCTGCTGATGGGCAAGATCATCGCCGCCGATTATGTGGTATGTGGGTGCCGCCGACTGCTGCGGCTGTTGATACTGCGCTGGAGCCGCCGTTTGGTAGACCACTTGCTGCTGGTCGTTGAAGACCAACTGCTGGTCATCCTGCAGGACCAGGGACTGAAAGTAGCGGGAAATTAGCTAGGTGCTCACCGTGGGCTTCTGATACTACTCACCCCCACCTCATCTTGGGGCACTTGCACTACCTGCAGATCGGAGTAGACGGGCTCCTCCAGCGGCACAATATACTGCTCCATTTTAAGGCAGCTGGAAAGGGTAATAGATTAATTTCAGATTGAATTGTATATGTGCATTTTGGGGCCTTTCAAAATACTATTGTTTTGCATAATTAAATGGGACTTGACATTTATTTAATTTAAATGTCATTTCTTCCAAGTCCATTTTTAGTTACTGAAAATATAGTTACTGCTATAGGTGCATTTTAATTATATGTAAATAACAGTGCACTTATGCTTGAGAAAAGTCAAAAGTAAAGTTATTAAACTTTGCACCGTGTGTAGCATAATTAAGATACTTTAAACATTTAAAGGTTATATTTTTGCGTCTCAGTACTAAATTCCTCAACATTTATTCTAATAAAACCAAGGTTAAGCATCTATGTGATGTATTAAAATCAAGTAAGTGGACAGAAAAACAAGTTTCATCACGTTTTTGTGCCATTTCAAACACACGAATATACAAATTTCTGCCCCTTTTGCAGGCGTCGCATTTTTAAGACTTTTGCACAGCCCTCAAGAACACACACACAAAATCGCAGTTGAAAATTGTGATATGTAGCATTTTCCGGGCAGAAACTTGCACAATATTCGGTTGATATTTTGGATAAACTAATTCTTTGGTAATTTTGCAATATATTTCACTTTTTTTAGACAAATTTATTATACAATTACAGGGCATTTATTGAGCCTCATTTTTTTTGTTGGCATTCCCAATCCCACACACCTCCGTTAATCTTCCAAAAATGGCAAGTTTCTGGAGCCAATCGCTGTGCCCTCAGCTCGGTACACTTGCTGTTTGATTAAATCATAGCCGCGCTGTCTTTTTACAATGATTACACGTTAAATATTAGCGTTTTTGCTTGAAACCCGTGGCTTTCTTTCTTGCAATAAAAATGGCGTTCACCATTAAAGGCAGCATTTGGTGATTTTTCCCATCTGGCAATGCCCGAACGCGAGCGCCACCTGGCGGGTTCGTCAGCTGTTTACAAACACTTTGCAGCGTTGCTTTGGGCCGCTGATTTATCGATGTCTGCCTTGTGCCGTCCTCTTCGTCTAATGTTTAGAGGTCCCTCTGTTTGGCATGTAGCCAGTTTAAAGGGACCACTAAACGGTCGGGCCACTGGAGTTGCCTTAAAATCTTTAGTTTTTCGCACTGAACGCGCTGATTCGGTGTATTTCTGTAATTTGCTCCACATTTTGACGTTAGTTAGCGAAAGGCGATTGATAACAATTTTTAACGACCGTTGATATCGCGGTTTTAAGCACTGTGTGTTTTGTTGTTTGCTGCGCGCTCTGGCGAATTGGGTGAGAAAGAAGAAGAATAAAAGAGGCGAGGGAAAAACAACATCGTTATTGTGGTGGCAAAAGAGCGATAGGCGGATAAAACGATAGCTTGGGAAAATGTGGGTGGCAACGAAAAATAAAATATATATTTATAATAAAGCCATCCAAATATAAATTGAAATATATCAAGTAATAATAAATATAATAATAATAATATGTTCTAAGCAGTTGTATAAATATTTAGTGTTCGCCAAATATTTATTGAATTTTTCAAAAAGATGTTAAGCTGGTAATGAATTATGCGTTTGAACTATGATCGCTGAAAAATTAAAACCGATTTTAAGCCAGCAAAAAATTTAATCACCTTGCAAAATAAAGAAAATTTGAATAATTTCACAATTACGGAGTATAAATTCTTTCGTTTTTGACAATTTATCGTTTGGCTCGATCGAAACTGTCTTGGAATAGTTTCCCATCTCTAATTTCGAAGCTTTTATTTTAATAACAATGTCCAAAATATTTACGCCCACAAATCAAATACGCCTCACAAATGTCGCCATTGTGAGGCTAAAAAAAGGAGGCAAGCGTTTCGAGATCGCCTGCTATAAAAATAAAGTCCTTTCCTGGAGGAGCAACAGGTAACAGTCGCTAAATGCAACACGTGCACATTGTGAAATGCGTTTTACCTATAGCGAAAAGGACATTGATGAGGTCCTGCAAACCCATACCGTGTTCACCAATGTCTCCAAGGGACAGGCGGCCAAAAAGGACGAGTTGCAAAAGGCGTTCAATAAAACAGATGAAACTGAGATCTGCAAGGAGATCCTGAGCAAAGGAGAACTGCAGGTGTCGGAAAAGGAGCGCCAAAGTTGTCTGGACACCCAGCTAAATAGTATAGTTAACTCCGTGGCTGCTTTGTGTGTAAATCCAGAGACGCGTCGTCCATATCCCGCCTCCATCATCGAGAAATCCCTGAAGGATGCCCACTTCTCCGTCAAGATGAACAGGAACACCAAGCAGAACACACTGGAGGCCATCAAGATTCTCAAGGACCATATGCCCATCGAGAGGTCACGCATGAAGCTGCGGGTTAGCTTCGCTGGAAAAGAGGGCGGTGGCAAGCTCAAGGAATCGGTGGTTAAGTTGGCCAACACAGTGGAGCACGAGGAATGGGACGAGGCCACCTTGCACTTAACCTTGCTCATAGATCCTGGCCAATATCGCGTCATCGATGAGCTGGTGAGGAACGAAACGAAGGGCAAGGGACTGCTGGAGCTGCTCGAACTGAAGGAAGTTGTGGAGAGCGAGGAACTCTTCTAGGAAATATAATCTTTTGTTTTTCTTTGTAATCTTGTTGATATTTATGTGAAACATAAAGATGTTAACACACAATTTAATCTGTTATTTGAATCTTAAAGCTGTATTTAGATGAATCATCAACATTGCGGTAATGCGAAGCAATAGGTAAACAATTTTCCAGTTTCAAGGTTGACAGGTTCAATTGACCAACTACTTAATACAAAATATAAAATGATCAATAGTTCCTTACACATATGTGATTATTTATATAGAACAGGTCAGAGATTATAACAAATATACTGTAGAATTGAAAAGGTGATCAGCTGCTTTACTTTCGCTTCTTCAGGTTCTCAAAGCGCCGTGAAAGGTCATCAAAATCGATCTCTTCCTCGTCGTCCTTCTTCTCGGCACCTCCACCGGGAACATCCGGCAGATCATTCGGGACGTTGGGCAGCGAGGGGAAGTCCAACGCCGGAGGAGCACTTGGCAGCGTGGGATTACCCGGTGGCAGCTTGGATCGGGGTTGAGGTTTGGGTTTGTTGGCGTTCTGCGAAGGGCATAAAGAAAATGAATGAGTATCTAAGATATTTAACACAAACAAGAAACCTTCTTTTCTGATTTTTAAAAGCCAATTTAAAATTATGTAAATCAAAATTAAATTGTAAGAAATTTGGGTTAATCTGGGTTTCATAAAATAATTCTGTTAAATCATAAGTAAATTTCGATATGTAGAAATTTTCAGAAAATTTAGGTTTGATTCCATAAAATGATCAATAAAGTAGGTGCTTGATTTGATAAAATCCAATGTCCTGACCTGGAGATTTACGGGATTAATGGAGGTGTAACGCGGCGGCGGATCATTTTCGGGTTTGGGGCGCTGTTAGGCAAAATTAAAGAGAAAATAAGGCAAATAAAAAATAGAAACACTGGCATAACAAATCAATAGGGAACATTGAGTCAAGCGAAAAGATAACAGTGGACAACAAGCTATGAATCACTTGGATGACTGAACTTACACGCACAGTGGGTTTTCGCACAGAAACAAACAAGAGTGGAGGAGGAGAGCCCATGGAAGCGTATTTCATTTGTTTAGTGATGTTGCAGAACGAGAAGCGAGTTAGTTTTTGGTTAAACAGCATTCTACACAGAGATAACCTACCAGAATATTCTCATCCGGGCTGCCCGAGCCATCCGTATTGTCCGCTTCACGCTGCAACAGCCCAGGAGTCATGCAAAACATGCCAAAGCTCAACTATTAACTATTCTCCAAAAAGGATATATGCCTTTACTGCAGTTGCAATCGCATGTATTACTTAATTGGGCCAATAAATAATAATGTTAGTAAATCCTGAATAATATTGCGCAATAACTAGCTTATCACCGGATAGTTAGTCTGGGAAAGAGGGCAAACTAATTTATAACTAGTGTGATTGCAACTGCACAAACTATAAATATCCCTGTGCTACAATAAGGCGTTAGATAAGTATATTTACATTGATAAAGTTGGTGTTCAGATCCTTCTCCTCGGCACATTTTGCAGGCAGGACTGCAGGCGGTGCCGGCTGATTGGGCGGAATATTGTAGGCGAACGGCGGCGGTGGCTGCACGGGATGGGGCACGGCGTATGCCCCAGCAGGAGCTCCTCCGCCTCCGCCACCGCCGCCACCGAAGGGTGGGTAGTTGAAGGGCTTTGCGCTCGGTGGCATCGGCATATCGGGCAGTGCTGGCATAGCCGGATATCCAATGAAGCCCATTTGGGGCGGTGCAGCGCCACCACCGCCACCGGCACCACCACCACCACCGCTCAAGTTGTTCCGATCGGACAGGTCAATCAGATGCGGCTGCGGGGGCTGATCCTCCTGCATGACCTGCGGATCCGGTTCGTACTCGATGTTATAGTTCTTGGCAATGGCAATGAGGTAGTTCTCCACCAGAAGCTTTGGCGGCGCCTGCAACGTGAGCTTATGCATGAGTTTCTCCGACACATAGTGCTCCCCAGTGGCGGTTCTCGATTGCTCGGCGAACTGTGGCCCATATTTGGTCACAAATATGTCCGATATGATCTTCAGCTCGGCTATATCGCTCTGGAGGCGGGGACACACCCAAACCAAGCTGGCCACCGGCTCGGCGATCCCTGTGTCCAGTTCCTTCATCTGGGTGATGAGGCCGAATCTGGCGAGCAACAGGTCACAGTACATCTCCACCATTTCCATTGCCTCCACCAAGTAGTCCTCCCTATGAATGCATGTAGACGATATATGGGAGGGATCCCTATGGATAATATGTTCCCGCACTCACCTTATGATGTGCTCCACGCGAATCCGCGCCCTCTCCGTTTTTCCCGTGGCCAAATAGTCGGCTATTTCCTTCCTGGACTTTTGCGTCAGCTCCGCCTTCTTCTTCTCCAGCAATTTCAGGCGATTGAGTGCCAATCGAAGATTGGTCTTCAGTTTGTTGTAGTTGGGGCCGCTGGAAAACATCTTCACTTCACCCTGGGCTGCCGATTTAGTAGTGAAAACAAGGAAATTTGTTTAGTGGTGATTCATTAACTTAATACGGAAAAAACTAGGGTTGTTGATAATATATCAATATATCGATATTTGTTCTGAAAATGTTATATTTATATCGTGATATTGTTTTGCTCAAATATCGATATTGCGATATTTTTTTGATATTTTCCCCTTGGTCACTCTGATTTCCAAAGCGATACCGGGTAAAAGTGATCGTCTTAAAATTATCATAAAGTACCTGATCACTCCGGGTAGCTCAGTGCCTTCAAAACGGTTGGCGTCCGCTATAAAATGTGTAGTCTGTAACGCACGAAGCCGAATGACTGACAAACATATAACACAACGAGTCTTCTTAAAATCACTTAACTCGAAAAAATAATATAATAATACTTGGAATTAAATAGCATTGATTTATATAAGCACAATCTGTATTATTATCTGTATTAGATATTGAATATCCAGTCAAATAAGAAACATAAAGTTAATAAGAAACTATTATATTTTTATTGTGGGGAAAAAAACAAATTTTATTTGAAAAAAAAAATATCGATATTTTTTTTAGTTATTTTTTCTAGTTGGGAATTATTTGGCTACAAGAAAATATGTTTCCTAAACAAATATTAAAAGCGGCAATAACTATGTGTTCCGACAGTAAGTTGAACATTCTTCATGCTTTAATTAAGACAATTTTTACTACTTTGTGCAAGTAACACATACACTACGTACATACATACATGCATACATACATACATGCATACATACATACATACATACATACATACATACATACATACATACATACATACATACATACATATATACATGCATGCATACATACATACATACATACATACATACATACATACATACATACATACATACATACATACATACATACATTCATACATACATACATACATACATACATACATACATACATACATACATACATACCTACATACATACATACAAACTACACCTACACTACACTCACTGCTCGACCGGTAAGAGAGATTACTTGAAATATGCCTTACAGTCTTCGCTAGAACTAGTTGGGAATTATTTGGCTACAAGAAAATATGTTCCCTAAACAAATATTAAAAGCGGCAATAACTATGGTTCCAACAGTAAGTTCAACATTCTTCATGCTTTATTTAAGACAATTTTTACTACTCACTTTAAAGACCTCACTGTTTCACTCACTAATATAATTATGACAAAATAATAGATTATTATTTAATTACTTACAGCTCGAGATTAATTTAGTAGCACTTTGTATTAAAAGCGGCAATAACTATGGTTCCAACAGTAAGTTAAACATTCTTCATGCTTTATTTAAGACAATTTTTACTACTCACTTTAAAGATCTCACTATTTCACTCACTAACATAATTATGACAAAATAATAGATTATTATTTAATAGATTTATTTAATAATAGATTATATTAATAGATTATATTTAATAGATTAATTTAGTAGCACTTTGTATAAGAATAAACATAAAAATATATATCCCTTTCAGTGTAGGGTAATCAATTTGTGTTATTTGCCTGGTTATTTGTTCAAGAGAGATGCGAATGTGAACTTTCAAGTAATCACACTTAAGAACACATACACTACACTCACTGCTCGACCGGTAAGAGAGATTACTTGAAATATTTTGTGACTCTAAATTAGGGTTGTTGATAATACATCAAAATATCAATCACTTAACTCGAAGTATTGGAAATAAGTAGCATTAAAATATATAAACACAATCTGTATTATTATCTGTATTAGATTTTGAATATCCAGTTTAATAAGAAACTTTTATATTTTTATTGTGGGGAAAAAACCAATTTTATTTGAAAAAAAAAAAAATCAAATATATCGATATTTTTTTGTTATTTTAAAAATTATCATAATTTTTTTTGATAAAAAAATATCGATACGATATTTTGTTAATATCACGACAGCCCTAGAAAAAACAATGTGACGTCACGTACAGTGTGACCGTAGAGACAGACCGTAAAAATAAAAGCACCTGCAGGACGGTAACACTGAAAACTCTAATTGGCTTGAAGAATTTTCATACATTTTAAATGACCGATCATTTCAACCATTTAGGTATGTTTAGCCATTTCAAAGATTAAGAGCAATGCATGGTTGGGCTTATTTTGTTGAGCTTTATTGGTTGAATTTTCGGTAACACAAGAACCTTTAACAATTATCCAGTTTACAATTTGCCATTCGCTTCCATTTCGCCGCCGCCGCTGTGCAGTTGTGTTTGGCGCCCAGTTTCGAATCTGCGGCGAATTGAGCTCTTCGCCAGACACAACAACAAAGTTGCAGCCAACCACGATTTAATAGCAGGTGTGTGTTAGTGTTACACGTGAGTGTGTGTCTGTGTTTGTGGTGGCATCAGAATCCCACTCGAAATATGAACTCGAATATGAACGCGAACGCAATCACTTAGAGATGAGGAGGCGGTGGCGGCGGCTCGGGGCACTGCTCTATTTCCGTTTCCGATTCGCAGGGACACGCCTCCATCTCATCGATGGCGCAGCCCTCCTCCTCACAAACACCCGCATCCGGTCCGGATGGTTCCGATTCAGGTTCCTTGTAGCCGGCATAGATCTCAGCACGCTGCTTGATAATCTCCTGAATGATGGCGGTGAGGATCTCGCGCGAGTCCACAATATGACCCACTTCCTCGGCCACCTCGGCGGACAACCACGGACAGACGCTCTTCATCAGCTGCTCCTTCTTGACGGCATCGCTGGCCGGCTCAATGTTCTCCAGCACCTCCGGCACCAGACTGGCAATGTGTCCCTGGAGCAACTTGGCCGCCGTCACGCTCTTCTGCATCTCAGCATCCAGCTCCTTGGCAATCGCATCCTGGCGCAGGCGACGCTCCTTCTCCGCCTGCAAGCGCAACTCCTCCGCCTCCAAACGGCGCAGCTCGGCCAGTTCCGCCTCCCTCTGGGCCAGGAATCTGTGGATAACAATACACCACTATTGTAATCTGCATCTTGAAAATCTTGGTGATACGTACTCTTCCTGTTTGCGCCGCAGGCTGGCCAGTTCCATCTCGTGGGCCACCTCCAGCATGCTCTGCTCGATGCAGGCGTCCACCAGGACATCGATGATGGGCTGCGCCTCGGCATCGAAGTGGAAGAGTTCGCCCTCGCCGATCTCGGTGCCCACATCCACGCCCACTTTGGCCGGTATGAATGGAGGCGTCGGCGGCTTCTCGAGGAACAGGTCCGTCTGCGTGTCGATGGAGAACTCCGGCGGACGCTGCATCAGCTTCTCCAGATACTTCTCCGTCTGAATGGTCTCGTGCTTGCGGCCCCTGACCGGCGGCGGAGTGCCCAGGACATTTCTCTGATTGCGACACTGCATCGTCCGTTTGCGCAACATATTGCGGCGCCTCAATTCGGCGCCCTTGTCGAAGGGATCCACATCCGTCTGGAGCGGAAAATAAAGTGGATTAGTCGCGGGTCAGGGCTGCCAGAGAACTGGGCTCCACTGATGGTACTTACCACCAGAGAGGCGTTGCCAAAGTTGCTGCCCTTTATGACGCGACGGTCGTACATGACGTTCTTGTAGGGCTCCGGCGGCGGGACGATGGGTCTGCAAGAGGAGCAAATGGCAGGCAAGGAGTTGCCCAGGTGGGAGCCACCAATTAGTAAGCCTCGACCCAGTTCAGCAAACTGCTCATGCAGAAAAAAAGCTGCAGACTTTTACAAATTTCCAAATACATAAGTATACTACATGTCTTGGGTTTTTACCGCCCCATACCATACAATGCAAAATATCTATTCCTATATACTTAATATATTTTAAAAGTATTCAATTGGTTTCTCTTAAAGTTTGAAAATGGCACCTTTCAAGTTATGATGTCTGTTACATGTCTTAAGTTTTTACCATACCATACCATACCTTGCAAAACATCTATTTCTATATAATTAATATATTTTAAAAGTATTCACTTGGTTTCTATTAAAATTTGAATCATATCAAGTTATGATTACTAATAGTTTCAGTGCACTTCGGTTTATTAGCCAAGACCCAAATCTGTTGCACTATCAAGGCGATAAACATCAAATTTGTGCATTTCTCAACGCCTTCGCAGGTCGTTTGTCAGGTCATCTCCGATTCGAATCAATTTGGCCAAAGTTCAGTACACTTTTGGGTCAGATGTGAGGGCGGCGATTCGAGCTTAAAGCCTTAAAGCTGGACGAGTCCAGTCCGTGGTTGCTGAGTAATTTATGACTTGCTACTTTATATGTGTTTACTACAAGTAAACGGGGAAACAAACATTTCTTGCCGCACATGCACATACACATGGAGTTTGCGAGGGGGAGTATATAACACTGTGAGACATTGCACTAGGAGAACTTGGCACCTGAACTCGTGACCTATGCAAATTCGCAGCTACTTTTGGCCCACAACAGGAAGTCACATTGAAGTTGCTGGCGAATGTCTGACAACATTTCTCTGGGTCTGGGTCTGCAGACCGCAGCCATTGGCAAATGGAACGCGGAACCCTTGGTGCGATTTCCTTATGGGTACTACTGGGGATTTGATCTAAATTGTTCCATTCGTACACCCTTTGGTATAGCCACATTGCAGTTTATTTCGGTGACGCTTAGTTGTCTGCCTTATAGCTTTATTTAAACGTTGAGTGATATTTCATATTCAGCAATCCAAAAAAGGATGGCCCATTTGGGAGAACAACATCCCATTTGGGCAAAACGGCCGGCAGGACCTGTTTTTGTTTTTGTTTGTGCCATAGGTGTCCTTCTTCTCTGGTGTGGTAATTGAACGTAATATCCCTCCATTTGTGGCACTGTTTTTTATCGCTCCTTTGTACCCATTGTTGTTGTCTACGAAATCTTGATTTAAATTATTTAAGCCCTGAGCTGGGAATATGGAATACTCTCCGCTGGCACGACACATTCGAGGGTCCTTTGTCCGTTTGTCCGTTTGCTCGCATGTTATTTTATGCAAGGCAAACGGGTTTCCCCTGTCGAGAATGCGCCAAATAAATTAATCAAACCGTTCAGGGAATTTACAAAGTCCAAATGTTATTGGAAAAGCATTTCTAATTGAATTGTGGAGGAGTTCATTGTGGAAGTGGGCGCACCACACATGTACCAAACCTGGCTGAAGAAGAGCCTACTGACAATTTGTAGGTCGTAAGTGTTAGTAAAGTTTATGAAAAAAGAGGTATTTCAATAGAATCTAGAACATTTAAGGAATCCCTAGGACTGTCGAATCTTTAAAGGATTGAATTCGGCTCTTAAAGCCCCAAAACCCATTTGTAATTGAATCGTTTGGGTGTCAATCGATAAAGGCAGTACGACCTGAAGTGGGGAGCTTAGTTCTGGTTCCATTGCAGAATGGCGGAATAGGTACGTATTACTCATTTCAATTTATGGTAATATATTTTGGCCCACTTTGCCTTGGTCAGTTGTGGGACCTTTTTTACTTGCCACCTTTTTTCACTTCCAACTCCAGTGGTACCCATACCATTTTGGGGGGTTGGTCTTTTTATTACCTCTTGTCGCTGCTGATGTTGCTGTTGCTGTTGTTGTTGTTGTGGTTGGTGGTGGAGCGACGCTGTTGCAGTTGTTGCTGGAACTGGGCCTTGGTGATGTGGAGTCCACCGGCGAGGGACTGCGAATCGTTACGGGAGGACTTGGAGGCCGCAGCAGTGGCCGCCGCCACTGCCGCCGTGGCACGCACTCCATTCAGCCGGGTGGCGGTCACCTTCTGCTCCTTGCTCTCGCTGCCGGGTTCCTTGGCGAAATATCCTTGCAGAATCATGGGGTATGAGGAGTAGGCGTAGACATGCCTCCTCAGCATGGTGGCCGGTATCATCTGGACTTCATGGGGAGGCGGCAGGAAGATGCCCTGCGGCACCGTGGTCTCGAATCGTGGTCGCTGTGCCATCGCTGGATCCATCCAGGCGCCGGAATTGGCGCTCTGGCGGCCGCCGTAGTTCTGCTCCTCCGGCGCCAGGAAGCGCAGCTTCTGGCTCAGCTCATCGGCGAAGCTGCGCACCTCCTGGTTGCTGCGCGAGAAGTGCGATTTCTGTGTGGGATACCCAGCTGGCTCTGCTACATTGTGATCCTGGTTATCCGCTATACCCGCCTCTCGCCGGATCGGACGCACGATGGCCTGTTGGGGGCGCGTTGGATAGGAATCGAACTCCGGCTCCTCGGACGGCTGGTGGCGCAGCACCGAGAATGCGTTGGTCACCACGTGCTGGAAATTGTAGGGACTCTGATATCGCTGGACGTTGTAGTCGCCGGCGCTGTAGTAGGAGTTGTAGTTGGTGTTCGAGTTGGAGCTGGACGAGAGGCGTCCTGGTGCGTAGGGATAGCTGCTGGCGAAGGAGAAGTTCTGCACGCGATTCGGTCTATTGTCGGTGAGGTGCTCCAGTTCTGCTGCTGGCTGTGGATCTGGCTCAAGTTCTGGATGTGAGTGTGCTGGGTGCTGCTGCTGCTCCGTCTCTGGCATGGTCTCCGCTTCCTTCTCGGTTATCCCTGCTCCCGGCCGCCGGTCACCTCGTTCATTATAAATAGCCACCACACGGTTCTCTCACCCGCCGCACCGAAAAAGTTAATCAATATTTTTCTTATAGTTTCCCTTTTCCATTCGTGCCGCGCTGGCCGCTCAGGTGTTGCTTTCGTTGATTGCTTTATTTCACCGCGGAACACGTACCGCACGGCTCGAATGGCAAACGCCAAATGACCAAAGGACTCGCAGGACTCGCAGGACTCGCAGGACTCGTGCTCGGACCCGGTTGGATTCGGCCCGTGGTCAGCAGTCGTCGTGCAGACAAAGAAATATATCGAATTTCTTCTTAGGAATATATATACGAGTATATTCTGATTGGGCACCACTTTGTTTTGTAATAACTTTTACGAAGCAGCAATTATGCGTTTACTTCAAAAGACATTTATAATGAAAAAACGTCTGAATGAATACCTAACTTTTTTCAGATTTTTTCTGAGTGTATCTGGAGGCTAGCGCCGCAGTTTGAGGCACCTGATGGGCAGGTGTTGCAATAATAATGCGAACTGTTAACAGTCGGTGGCATTGCCATGGCCAAATCCACGTTCCCAAGAATTCTAGTTTGCATAAGAGCTTTTTTCCACCCAAGTAGTTTCGCTGGGTGAGTAGTCTCCAATTAAAGGTCTTGCCCCGGCGAAGGACCTTGAATTTCATTCGATGGTGTCCACATTTCCTGTCACATTGTTGGAGATGACTTCACGCATTTCCCTGCCTGACATTGAAATTGGAGGTGGGTGGTTCTATTACTCGGAACACCTCCTGGCTAATGTCAATGGCCAAGGTCAACTGCTTGGACTGCCTGATAAGCGGAATTCAACAGGGAACCAGCTTAATTAAGTGGATTTCTTGGCACTCGAAGGCGGCACTCTTTTCACTGGCAATGGAGAAAGGCCAGTGAATAGATGAAAGATTATTGTTACTAGAATTGGAAGGAATGTGTCAGAAGTCCAAGAGCTTTTGGCTAAGCCTGTGGTTAAGAAAGGTTGGTTTACTTCACTCAATCATACTTATATGATTAAATTCGTTGGCCGACCTTCGAACCTTACAAGAAACACCTAAAAACACTGTATTTCTATCCTAATTTGAGCATACACAATTTCGGTGCTATTATATTGGAATGTTTTCGGCTTGAGAGAATGGGAGCTTGACTACAACTCGATATAGATACACAACAGTTTATTGTGTTTTTATCATATTTCGGGATCATCCTTATTCCCTGTTTGACCTTAATCCGACCCAAGTCCAGCCCCCGTCATTATCTGTAGTCTGATATACTTGTATAATTTTATGATAGTGCGTCAACTTCCAGTTTTAAGCACTCAACGACTTGCACTCCCCTCATAATTTCCCCTCAAATCGCCGTTCATGTCCTGTGTACTCCATCCACTGCTTCCTTTCAGGACACGAATGTTTCTATTCGAAATCATACCGAGTTTGCGTGTCCTTCGGCTGGGCCATTGTATTGACCATCACCCGAACACGGCCAGCGTTTAATAATTTATTTACGCAATTTATGACTTTCGTTTTTGGTCCTGGATTCCATTGACCCCAGTGTGCAGACATACAAATGTGTAGAAGAACCCCCCCCAAGCTGCTAAAAAAGCGCTGGTTTTGCAACTATAAGATACCCTTTAGAAAAGGAATAATATCCACTACATCTAGATGAAATGCATATATAAAGAATTAATTGAAAACATATACACTAACATAGGAAAGTTACTTAATATTAATATTGGCTTATGTCTAAAGCACTAGGTATTCAATACACCGCACTTGCTTAACTCCAATTACAGGGTAAGCTTGGGAAATGCTTTGGGTGGCTTCTGTTTGGTACTCACTTGGGGCAACCTTTGATTTTGATCGGCTTGGGATGGCTGGCCCACCAAAATGCCTGTTTGCATGGTGGCGCTGGACAAGGATTCTCGTGCCATTTGAGCTGCATCTCGGTGACCTCGGTTCCCTTGATGCCGGAACTGAGGAAATCCATTCCAGAGCTTTTGCCCCCATTACTGGGCTTGTATTCCCTCTTCGGGATCGTCGGCATTGTTCACTTTTGCTTTCTTACGTTTTCGAGGTATTTAGAAAATTGGATTATTATTTGGGTAAAGGTCTTCCGCTTGCCAAAGTTATGTGTAAAAAAGTGATTTTTTTAGGTGACACATATTTACAGGCGTTCTTTGTCGTATGTTTTTATTTCCTTGTATTAAATATTTGTATTTCTTGTAGTGCTATCTGACATGGGTTAGAATTTGTATCCAAAATAAACAACGACGGCGGAATTTCCTCAGTTGCCATGGAAATTTAAAGTCGGCATTGTTAAACTGTTGCTGTGAGGGGATGGGTTTTTGGCAATGCGGCTTGTTCGTACTAACACTCGATATAATTTCTACGTTTCTGGAATGAATATCTATCGGGACATATAGATTTGAATATTTCATGAAAGTTTTCCATCAAACTTCCGCTTAGCTTACATACGGTCACTACACTTCCCCATATATTATTCACTACTAACTATCTTTCAGTATGAGGAATCTATTTTTATATCTCCCCAGTAAGACGAAACTAAGGAAAGCAACTTTCTCAAATAATAATAAAGCTCCTATTAGCTTTAAGCTGGGTTTGGCAAGGCTTGACCAAGGGCCAAAAAAAAAACCTTGGTATCCTTGATTTATTTTTTCAGATGCATCTTGCACCAAATGAATCTTGCATCTTTTCAGATGTAGGTTTTTTTGATATATTTTCTTATACCAGTTTGCCACTTGCCCTACTACCACAGTTCCTGAAAATTTGCGGTGTATGAAAGCGTTTTCGAAATATCATTTTAGTCATGTTCATTAGACTTTTATGAAAAGTGCAGTGTTCGCATAACAATAAATATGTCAAAAAATGTAAAAAGGGCTTAAGCAATTTATTTTTTAACCTCTCAATTCTTAGTATATTACTTTTAAAGTTAAATTGGTTAACACATTTGATATAATAAGCAAAATAATGCTATTGATGTATATAACATTCTACATTACGCACAGTTACATGTGATTATTATTTCTTACAGTAAAATGTACATTCTACATCTGTTCTACATTTTGGCAAGCAGTAATCACCAACTTTGAATTCAAGCAGTTTTTAACGTTTTCAGTTTTACATATATTATTTATACCCGTTACTCGTAGAGTAAACTAGAACTTCCTCTAGATGTTTCTGGCGCGATTCTCTAATAAACTGCATTCAAATTTAGAAATTTATTTTTTTTCCATTTTTTTGTAATTTTTCTGATGTATGATGTTGTAGAAATCAAAGAACTTAAAAAATGACCCAAATCTGAAGTTCTAAACTCCATAACTCAACTTATCTTAATCGGATTTTGAAGTGGCATACCTCTAAATGTTTCTGGCGCGATTCTCTAAAAAACTGCATTCAAATTTAGAAAAAATTTTTTTTTCCATTTTTTTGTAATTTTTCTGATGTATTTCTACAACAGAAATCAAAGAAATTAAAAAATGACCCAAATCTGAAGTTCTAAACTCCATAACTCAACTTATCTTAATCGGATTTTGATGTGGCATACCTCTAAATGTTTCTGGCGCGATTCTCTAAAAAACTGCATTCAAATTTAGAAAAATTTTTTTTTTCCATTTTTTTGTAATTTTTCTGATGTATTTCTACAACAGAAATCAAAGAACTTAAAAAATGACCCAAATCTGAAGTTGTAAACTCCATAACTCAACTTATCTTAATCGGATTTTGAAGTGGCATACCTCTAAATGTTTCTGGCGCGATTCTCTAAAAAACTGCATTCAAATTTAGAAATTTATTTTTTTTCCATTTTTTTGTAATTTTTCTGATGTATGATGTTGTAGAAATTAAAAAATGACCCAAATCTGAAGTTCTAAACTCCATAACTCAACTTATCTTAATCGGATTTTGAAGTGGCATACCTCTAAATGTTTCTGGCGCGATTCTCTAAAAAACTGCATTCAAATTTAGAAAAATTTTTTTTTTCCATTTTTTTGTAATTTTTCTGATGTATTTCTACAACAGAAATCAAAGAAATTAAAAAATGACCCAAATCTGAAGTTCTAAACTCCATAACTCAACTTATCTTAATCGGATTTTGATGTGGCATACCTCTAAATGTTTCTGGCGCGATTCTCTAAAAAACTGCATTCAAATTTAGAACAAATTTTTTTTTCCATTTTTTTGTAATTTTTCTGATGTATTTCTACAACAGAAATCAAAGAAATTATAAAATGACCCAAATCTGAAGTTCTAAACTCCATAACTCAACTTATCTTAATCGGATTTTGAAGTGGCATACCTCTAAATGTTTCTGGCGCGATTCTCTAAAAAACTGCATTCAAATTTAGAAAAAATTTTTTTTCCATTTTTTTGTAATTTTTCTGATGTATTTCTACAACAGAAATCAAAGAAATTAAAAAATGACCCAAATCTGAAGTTCTAAACTCCATAACTCAACTTATCTTAATCGGATTTTGAAGTGGCATACCTCTAAATGTTTCTGGCGCGATTCTCTAAAAAACTGCATTCAAATTTAGAAAAAATTTTTTTTTCCATTTTTTTGTAATTTTTCTGATGTATTTCTACAACAGAAATCAAAGAAATTAAAAAATGACCCAAATCTGAAGTTCTAAACTCCATAACTCAACTTATCTTAATCGGATTTTGAAGTGGCATACCTCTAAATGTTTCTGGCGCGATTCTCTAAAAAACTGCATTCAAATTTAGAAAAAATTTTTTTTTCCATTTTTTTGTAATTTTTCTGATGTATGATGTTGTAGAAATCAAAGAAATTATAAAATGACCCAAATCTGAAGTTCTAAACTCCATAACTCAACTTATCTTAATCGGATTTTGAAGTGGCATACCTCTAAATGTTTCTGGCGCGATTCTCTAAAAAACTGCATTCAAATTTAGAAAAAATTTTTTTTTCCATTTTTTTGTAATTTTTCTGATGTATGATGTTGTAGAAATCAAAGAAATTATAAAATGACCCAAATCTGAAGTTCTAAACTCCATAACTCAACTTATCTTAATCGGATTTTGAAGTGGCATACCTCTAAATGTTTCTGGCGCGATTCTCTAAAAAACTGCATTCAAATTTAGAAAAAATTTTTTTTTCCATTTTTTTGTAATTTTTCTGATGTATTTCTACAAC